AGCTAGGTCCCGATCCGCACTGTCTTGATAGGGTCAGTGGGGTCGATTCCCACCGCCTTAGTTTCCTCGGGCGGGCGGAAGGCCGTCGAGGAGGTTGGTTTGTTGCAGCCTAGGACTGTTGGGGTCGACGACTCCCCGAGCCGTAGGAGCTCGGACGAGTTGATGACCGCGGTGGCGAGCTCGAAATGCTCGTGATCGCACGTGAAGGCGTGCGAGAAGGCACTACCCACGGTGATGACGCCGTTCGGTCCCATCATCTTCAGCTTGAGGTAGGTGTAGTTGGGGATTGCCATGAATTTGGCGTAGCATGGCCGCCGCAAGATGGCGTGGTAGGACCCTGGGAAGTCCACCACTTCAAAGGTGAGGACCTCCGAGCGGAAGTTGCCTCAGTTGCCAAATGTGGCGGGCAGGTCGATCTGTCCGAGTGGGTACGCCTGTGCTCCTGGGATCACACCATGGAAGGGAGAGCCCGCTAGGCGGAGTTCCGACCGGGGGATGCGCATGGCGTCGAGGGTGTCGACGTAGAGGATATTGAGGTCGCTGCCTCTATCCATCAGCACCTTGGTGAGGCGCTTCTTGCGGACAATGGGGTCAACGACGAGTGGGTAGTGTCCCGGTCTGGCAACATGGGAGGGATGGTCCCTCTGATCGAAGGTGATCGGAGATTCCGACCAGCTAAGGAAGGAGGGGATGGCCGTCTCAGCGACGCATGCCTCTTTGTAGCGCACCTTGTGCTGGCGCTTGGAGCAGATGGCATCGGATCCCCCGAAGATCATGATGCATTCCTCGGGGTCGGGGAAGCTATCCCCGTCCTTGCCCCTCGTGCCTCCTTTCTTGGCTGCCGTCTCTTTGCTGTCTCCTTTTGGCCCGCCGGCCTGTCACAGGAAACGTTTGAGGAGCTCACAGTCCTTGTAGAGGTGTTTGACGGGGTAGGCATGGTTGGTGCACGGGCTATCCATGAGCTTGTTGAATTGGTCGGGTAGGCCCTACTAGGGCTGCTTGCCCGTGCGATCAGCTGCGGCGACTAACACGGAGTCGGTCGTTCGGCGCTGATCCTTCTTGTTCTTCTTGCCCCTCTGCATGGAGGGGGCCCTCGTCTTGGTCCTCGCGCTTGGCCTTGCCCTTGTCCTAGCCTCCATTTAAGACTGCTCCGACAGCCTCCTCGCCGGAGGCATGGTTTATGGCGACGTCGAGCAGGTCACGGGTGGTTCGGGGCTTCAGGCAGCCAAGCTTGTGGATTAGGGACTCGTTGGTTGTCCCGGAGAGGAATGCGCCGATGACGTCCACGTCGACGACATCAGGGAGGGAGTTGCATCATTGGGAGAACCGACGGATGTAATCCCGCAGGGACTCACTGGGCTCCTACTGGCAGCTCTTGAGGTCCCAGGAGTTCCCAGGGCGGACATACGTCCCCTGGAAGTTCTCGACGAAGACCCTCTTGAGGTCCGCCCATTCGCGGATGCTGTCATGCGGGAGGAATTCAAGCCATGCTCGAACATGTTCTCGACACAGATGGGGATATATTGAATGATGAAATGGTCATCATCTACCCCTTCGGCTCGGTAGGCGAGCCAGAAATCTTTGAGCCATATACCAGGGTTTGTCTCCCCGGTGTACTTGGCAATGTTGGTGGGCGGTCGGAAGCGCTGTGGGAACGGCGCTCTCCGGATGCACCAGCCAAAGGCCTGTGGTCCTGGGCCATCCAAGTTGGGACTCCGGTCATCTGGCCGGCGACCATGCCTAGGGCATGTTTCACCGCTCCCCTCGATGGTCCAGCCGGGGCCTGAGTCACCTGCCCTCACCGCCGCCCAATGGACGTCATCATCATGCCGGGCCTGATGCCGGTTGCTGATGACGCTGCGAGCGTCTTGGTTCGGACCGAGCCGTTTGTGTACCGGCGGTCGGTGTGTAGCAGGCACCTGGTTGAACCGCGGCGCAGCTGCAGCCTCCTATGCCGCGCTTGGCGGTTGTAGCGGTGAGCAGATGGAGTGATCCGTCTGGTGCGTCCCCACTCCCCTAGTGGGGAGAGAGGCTGCGAGTCGAAGTCGCGATGAGGAGCTTTCCGCCTGTTGAACGACGGTGGCTTCAACCAGTGCCTGGAGGTTTTGATGGACCGCCCGCTCCTAGGGGTCGACGGGCTCGGGAATGCCGCGCAGAAGAATTACCGCAGTGGCGATGTTCTAGCTAGCCCGAGCGAACTGTGGGGGATCGTTTCCCACGTCCATGATGTCGCGCTAGACCTGGCAGGCATGACCCCGGGCGCTGCTCATCGGGTTACGCGCACGGGGCGCATCATGATACGCCGAGCGTGCAGGCACAGGTGGTGGCTGGTTCTGCCGCCTTTGTCATAGCTCCTCGTAGTGCTCTTGTGCAAGCGCGAGGGCCCCTGCACGAGGGTCCAGAGGGGTGTGAGTCTGCAAGGACTCCGCTACCACTGGCGGCTGTCCCGGAGCGTCCGCCATAGCGCACTCCTAGGACAGACGGTGGCTAGGCGCCACATCGCCGATGCTGGAGCCGTCGCTCTCAACCTCGTCATCCAGGAGTTCGTAGAAACAGGTGGGAGCATAACTCACCATCCCCACAAATTCGGATGTGAGAGGAGGCGGCGTCAGCATTTTTTGGAGCCCCTGGACGTACGCGTCCGTAGGGGACGTAGGGCCGTAGGGGGACCGGTCGAATGGCTGTTGCGGTACGAACAACGTGGTCCCTCCGGATAATTAACGGAAGATAGTAAATAGCGAGTAAATAATAGCATGTACATTACTCACAGCGGGGTTTGAGTAGAGAGTTCGCTCGGAATGAAGCGCAGGCGCCTTGTCGTTGAAGTTGTCGTGTGTCCCGAAGCCGATGGAGGGCGCCCCTCCGACGGGCGCCAGAACAAGTGCCTCCTCGTGGAGGTGTAGTACGCCGAGCCAGTCAGCGATGAAGTCCAGGCTTCCGAAGAGGAAGGCCTGGGATGGCTCAAAGATGGGTGGAACCCACATCCCAACAGATGGGAGTGCAGGAAACTCCAGCGAGCCGAAGCGAGTCGTATCGCTTGAGCCCGCCATGGCGAAGGTGGCGGAAAAGTGGGCCATCCGATGACCAAAAGTGTGAACGTACAACGTCTTCCCCACGGACGGCGCCAACTGTCGGTGTAGAAAGTGACAAACACGTAAATATTTGTAGTTTTGTCGTACATTGTGATCGGATGTGGCCTAACACTCAATGACACAGGGTTTATATTGGTTCAGGCAATGTGCCCTACATCCGGTTTGAGTCGATCGGTGACTTTATTCCTGAGCCCAGGTGCTCGAAGTTTGCTGTGGGGTTACAAACGGAAGGAAGAAAGATGGGGGGTGCAAGCGGTCCGATCGGACTCCGGACTAAAGGGCCGAGAGTTACAGGAGCTCCGCTATGAGCTAAGTGTTCGAGCGTGTGCTCGAGTGTTTTGAACCTAGTAGTTCTGTTGTGTGTGTGTGAGTGAACTCATGGATCTATCTGTTGGGCGAGAGCGCATCCCCTTTTATAGCTGAAGGGGCGGCCTTACAAGCGCGCGCGAGAGAGAGAGTATGCTTGCTACTAAGTCTTATTGCCCACGCCGTCTGGTACAAGATGATGGTAGGCGCCCATAACACTGTTGTTGTCAGACGCATGTGGGAGGTTTTACCGTATTCACCATGTATGGTAAATGATGGCGCCCACAACACTATTGATGTCCAGAGGCATGTGGGGGGAGCCTTACCGCGTTTGCCTAGTATGGGAGTTGATGGCGCCTACAACACTGTAGGGCAAATGTCGGCGCCCATAACACTGGTTGGGTTCTGACATGCCTGGAAGGTTGCAGGGCACCCCTCTGACAAGTCCTGTCGATTACTGTCCTATAGGTGTGCAGGGTACAGTCCTTGGTATCGCGGTTGACTTGAGTGCCCTGCCTTACATGCTTTGTCCGTTTCCTAGTCCTCACCGAGCGGGCGTCCCCAGTCGGTTGGTTCCAGTCGGCTCTGACTGCGTCAGTCGGAGAAGAGCTGTAAGTAGGGGGTTCGATGCATCCCCGGTCGGAGACGCGGGCCGGAGTTCGGAAGCGGTGTTTGGCCAGGCCTTTCGGTCGGAGAGGCGGGCCGGATTCGGAAGCGAGCACTGTTCCTCCTTGGCGAGGCCTTATGTTCAGAGATTGGATCACCTTCTGGCCTGTCATTTAGGTATTTGGGCCGGCCTAGGAGTTGTGTGTTGTTCGCAACATCGTCTGCTGGGCCGAGCCTTTGCTTGGAAGCCGGTCCATGAGGGACCCCGGGTTTATGAACCCGACACTATCCATGCGATGATTAGCTCCACTTGCAACACCATGGCCTCCTCTATTGCTCGGATATGGACAAAACCTAGCTGCATCCATTCTGACCTGCTTTTCATTTTTTCCCGGCCACGGATCCAAACCTACGTTTAGGTGCCATTGACATGATTGCAATCCTACAAGAATAAAATTTGGAGAATGAATCCATTGTACGTCCTTAGATTGTTGCTCGCACACCAAATTAAACCCAATAGCAAACATTCAATTCACAATTCCCAACCTTGACTCCAACCACACAAAGTGTATTGTTGGTATCGAATTGTTAAAATGGTTGTCTTTTCATTAGACATCATCAAATGGAATTAATTAATATAGAAGGTTAACATGTTACTCTAATGTACTTCAACTTCACCCCACCTTTCTTCATCCACACCTAGGGATGGCAACAGGGACCCGATCCTTGAAAGGGATTTCATCCATTAAGGAATGGGGATGGTACGTTTTTACTCTCCATGGAGATACTAATGGCCAGTTTTCACCCCCCATCGAGGGAAGCGCCGAAGGAAATGTGCTCCCTGTCCCCAAACTCGATCCCGTCGGGGTCCACGTTATGTCCTTGCCTGCCTGTGCTATATGATATATGTTGAAAGAAGCCCAACATCCTATATTTGGCCCAACCCCACTAAAGACGTATAAATTCCTCCAAACCCTAGCGCCTCGATCCCTTCACTTATTCTTTCTCATTCCCGAGCCGCCAGCCGCCTCGCGCCCACACTTGTCCAAGGGTCGCGGTCTCCCACACGGCCACATTCTCCATTGCTGCCACACCGAACCGCCGTGGTTCCGCCTCCCGAGTCATCTCCCGTCGTGCCGCCACTTGCTGACTTTTCTTACCATCCCTCTCTCCGCTAGCTAGTACCCACCGCAGGCAGCAAGCACCAAGGAGCCAGGCCAGAGCTTCCATGGCAGCTGCGGGATCCTCTTGTCTGTCTTGCCGCCATAAACTTGATGCCGATGTCGATTTGTTGTTGGTCACTTCAAGAAACTTTAATATGTAGTCTTAGTGTCTTTCCATGGATCTATGAGACTAATGAACTTGCGAAAGAATGAATGGTGAATGGATAAATTGTTATTTCTGTCATGTTTGTTCTCATTTGGTATATGTTTGTATGTACTTCCAATTCTTTGCCTGCTATTTAATTCCGCTAATTTTTGCAACTTACAAATGTTGTAGTCTTCTTTTGATGTTGCTTTATGAGGAATCATCGGGGACGGAGACCCCATCGGGTGTATAATCCCCATTTGGGGACATGGATGGGGGAAAACTTGCCCCGAAAGCGCAGTTGAGGACGGGAGCAGGGCATCAAATTATGTCGATGATGAGAACGTTAAGGCAAAACCCGATAGGGATAGACCCGTTGCAATCCCTATCCACACCAAACCCATTCATTTTTTTCTCTACACAAGTTCTAGCCGCTAGTGAAATATGATTGGTATCAGAATCGTGGTCTTCGTATCAGAATCGGGTAGGACTGGACGCGTGAACTCTTAGTAAAATATGATTGGTATCGAACGTGTGAGCAGAAATCAAGGTTTCGTATCATCAGGTAGATGATGACTTTAGAGTCTGTATATGACCATGTTGCGTTCATGCTTTGGTATTCGTATATAGCGCCGTCTTGGTGTGCACGGTGCACACGTCGGTACCAAGCAAACGTTGCCTGAAGGTCTTGCTTTACGTCCATCGGATATATACATACTTGGTTTTTCTAGATATAAATTTTTTAACTATGTATGCATCTAGACATAGAGTCTATTTAGAACTGTTCAGCTCCATATTTTTTAGCCCAATAGAACGTATAGCTTGCATTATCTATTCCAATATGTTTTGGAATCGGACTTTACGACTAGATGACACGCGCTATTCTAACTTCTATAAGCATGGTTCGTGAGTTCGGATCACGGACGAACAATAAATTAATTGTGACTCTTCTCTCTAATTTATCACGAAAACAAAACCATCTTTTACGATAGAGATAATGAAGGGACATACAAACTTGGAAGAGAGTGGAGAGTCAAAAATTGGAGCGAAATCTTCGCATGACACGACCTGATCCCTCTCGTGCTTCGTGCCCGTTCCAGGTCAGGACCTCGTCGGGCCATGCTGATATAGCACGGCAAGTCTTTACTTCGTGCACCTTCTGTCATGTCGTACAAAGGACGACCTTTGAAATATCTTTGTTAATTTCTTTATCTAGTCATGAAAAAATATTTTCATATATACTATTTTTTTTAAAAATTGATAATTTTCTTAATCGTTTAATAATAGTTAGATTTTTTGAGAGAAAATAATAATTAGATGAGAGGGTAGTACAGACAGCTTCAATTGGCGTGGACTCAATCTGAACGGTGAACGGCAGCCACGGCCCATATACGACGAGGCGATGATTGGAGCGACAACGGCAATAACAGAGCTAGTGGGCCGAAGCCGGCATGACGTACGGCACGCGGACCCAGCAATCTATAGGCCCGGTCTTAATATATGGGCTGGCCCATCTTTTACTGTCTTGCTGGAGTCGAAGTCGGCCCACCGACCTATAGTAGGATATCTCCCGGTCATCGATCTTCTTTCTTCGCAAGAAAAAGAAAAACAAATCGTTTGTTTGCCCTTCCGACTACGTCTCCCCTTCTTTTTTCCGGCGTCGACGGCGGGGCGAGCGGCGGCGCCCTCTTCACTGTGACCTTCGCCGCGACGAGTCTCCTCCTGGTACACACCCCTCCCTCCCCTACCGCTCCCTTTCCTCCCTGCCTGCTGTGCGAAATCGAGCATCCCGAAACCCTAATCTGAGATCTGACCCAATTTACATGTATGTGCTAAACCCAATAGATTCGATCTTCTTTGCCAAAAACGAAAGAGCTACGCATGTCCTATACTGGATCCGCCGCTTGTGCGTTTGCTCGTGTTGTTACAAACAATACGGCTTGCTTGCAGTTTCAGTGTCATGGTGACCCGTAATGTTTTAACAGATAACCAAGTAGTGCGCCTTGCGCCTGTGGGGAGATTTCAGGATTTGATATGCGAGTAATCGATTACCCAGAGTCCCTTGTATGGGTGCCCCTGTGGGGAAAGGCAAGGGATTTGATGTGTCTGTATTCCAGTAGCTAATTCTCCCAAAACCTGTTCCTTTGCTTGTTACCTGTCAGTTTTTTTCTTGATGACTGGCAATAACAATGAAAACCAAGATGCTGTGATTCGTGGTTACTTGATATGTGAAAGTTTTGCCTGTTTGCTATGGTGTGGGTAGAATTTTCATCATTCTACTTCTACCTCCAATCTGAAGAGCATGATGTTTTGGACAAATCAAATATAGGGAAAGAAACAAGTGATGTAGTATGTATGAAACAACTTCTTCTTTTCGACAGCAGAGAGTACATACATATGGATTCTTTATTTATGACTTGGCAATAACAATAAAAACCAAGATGCTGTGGTTCGTGGCTACTTGATCTGTTGAAAGTTTTACCTATTTGCTTTGGTGTGGGTAGAATTTTCGTCATTCTACCTTCAATCTCTAGAGCATGATCATCAACAACAACAACAACAACAACAAAGCCTTTAAGTTCCAAACAAGTTGGGGTAGGCTAGAGTTGAAACCCAGCAGAAGCAATCAAGGTTCAGCACGTGAATAGCTGTTTTCCAAGCATTCCTATCTAAAGCTAAGTCTTTGGGTATATTCCATCATTTCAAGTCTCCTTTTATTGTCTCTACCCAAGTCAACTTCGGTCTTCCTCTGCCTCTCTTCACGTTACTATCCTGGCTTAGGATTCCACTATGCATCGGTGCACCGGTGCCTCTGGAGGTCTCCGTTGGATATGTCCAAACCATCTCAATCGGTGTTGGACAAGCTTTTCTTCAATTGGTGCTACCTCTAATCTATCATGTATATCATCGTTCCGAACTCAATCCCTTCTTGTATGACCACAAATCCAACGCAATATACGTATTTCCGCGACACTTATCTGTTGAACATGTCGTCTTTTCGTAGACCAACATTCTGCACCATACAACATAGCAGGTCTAATCGCCGTCCTATAAAACTTGCCTTTTAACTTCTGTGGTACCCTTTTGTCACATAGGACACCAGATGTTTGGCGCCACTTCATCCACCCTGCTTTGATTATATGGCTAACATCTTCATCAATATCCCCGTCTCTCTGCAGCATTGATCCTAAATATCGAAAGGTATCCTTCCTAGGCATTACTTGATCTTCCAAACTAATATCTTTCTCCTCCCGAGTAGTAGTGCCGAAGTCACATCTCATATACTCAGTTTTAGTTCTACTGAGTTTAAAAACTTTGGACTCCAAAGTCTCCCGTCATAACTCTAGTTTCTGATTCACTCATGTTCGACTTTCATCAACTAGCACTACATCATCCGCGAAAAGCATACACCAAGAGATGTCCCCTTGTATGTCCCTTGTGACCTCATCCATCACTAAGGCAACAGATAAGGGCTCAAAGCTGACCCTTGATGTAGTCCTATCCTAATCGGGAAGTCATCCGTGTTTCCATCACTTATTCGAACACTAGTCACAACATTGTTGTACATGTCCTTAATGAGCCCGACGTACTTCATTGGGACTTTATGTTTGTCCAAAGCCCACCACATAACATTCCTTGGTATTTTATCATAAGCCTTCTCCAAGTCAATAAAAACCATGTGTAGGTCCTTCTTCTTCTCCCTATACCGCTCTATAACTTGTCTTATTAAGAAAATGGTTTCCATGGTTGACCTTCTGGGCATGAAACCAAATTGGTTCATAGAGACCCGCGTTATTGCTATCAAGCGATGATCAATAACTCTCTCCCATAGCTTCATAGTATGGCTCATCAACTTAATTCTCCGGTAATTAGTACAACTTTGAATATCCCCTTTATTCTTGTAGATCGGTACCAATATACTTCTTCTCCACTCGTCAGGCATCTTGTTCGATCGAAAAATATGGTTGAACAACTTGGTTAGCCATACTATAGCTATATCCCCGAGGCATCTCCACACCTCGATTGGGATACCATCCGGTCCTATCGTCTTACCTCCTTTCATCCTTTTCAACGCCTCTCTGACATCAGATTCTTGGATTCTCCGCACAGAGCGCCTATTGGTGTCATCAAAAGAGTCATTCAACTGAAAGATTGTGTCCGTATTCTCATCATTGAACAATTTGTCAAAATACTCTTGCCATCGATGTCGGATCTCATCCTCCTTCACCAAGAGATGCTCCCTTTCATCCTTAACGCACTTAACTTAGTTGAAGTCCCTTGTCTTTCTCTTACGAACCCTAGCCATTCTATAAATGTCCTTCACTCCTTCCTTCGTACCCAAATGTTGGTAAAGATCCTCGTACGCTCTATCCTTTGCCACATTTACAGCTCGCTTTGCAGTCTTCTTTGCCACCTTATACTTCTCTATGTTGTCCACACTCATGTCATGGTACAAGCGTTTATAGCATTCTTTCTTCTCCTTAATAGCCATTTGGACTTTCTCATTCCACCACCAAGTATCTTTAGCCTCGCCTCCACTTCCTTTGGTTACTCCACACACCTCTAAGGCCACCTTCCGAATGTTGGTTGTCATCTTCTTCCACATGTTGTTTATGTCATCTTCTTCCTTCCAAGAGCCCTCTTTGATAACCCTTTCCCTGAATACCTCTGAGTCTCTCCTTTTAGTTTCCACCACTTTGTTCTTTCAATCTTTTAGCTTATTTATCCCTTTGGGCACGCATCTGAAAACGAAAGTCTGCCACCAAAAGCTTATGTTGAGAAGCAACACACTTCCCTGGTATCACCTTGCAACCCAAGCATGCTTGTTTGTCTTTTCTTCTTGCAAGAACAAAGTCAATCTGGCTAGAGTGTTGTCCGCTACTGAAGGTCACTAGATGAGATTCTCTTTCTAAAGAAAGTGTTGGCTATCATCACGTCAAAAGCTACCGTAAAGTCCCGAACTTCCTCCCCATCCTGATTCCTACTACCATACCCAAAACCTCTATGAACTACCTCGAAACCTGCGCTTATAGTACCTACATGCCCATTGAGATCTTATCCTATAAAAAGCTTCTCACTACTAGGTACAACTCTAATCAGGTCATCTAAGTCTTCCCAAAACTGTCTCTTAGCACTCTCGTCGAGGCCTACTTGGGGGGCATATGCACTAATTACGTTCAAAACCATATCACCAATGACAAGCTTGACTAAGATAATCCTATCTCCTTGCCTTCTCACTCCCACCACACTATTCTTGAGGCCCTTATCAATCAAAACTCCTACTCCATTTCTAGTCGCGACTGTCCCTGTGTACCAAAGCTTGAAACCTGTATTGTCCACCTCCTTCGCCATCTGACCCTTCCATTTAGTCTCTTGAACGCATAATATATTTACACGCCTCCTAGTCGTGGTATCAACTAATTCTCTTAACTTACCTGTAAGTGACCCTACATTCCAACTATCTAAACGGATCCTAGTTGGTTCGACTAGCTTCCTTACCCTTCGCACCCGTCGACTCAGATGTGAAGACCCTTGCTCATTTTTCACTACACCCGGGCGCCGATGTAGCGCGCCACTAAGGATGCGACGACCCGATCCTTGCTCACTTGACACCGTGCCTAGATCGCGACACGGCGCGTCACGGGGGTGACGACCCGGCCCTTGCTCATTTAACACCATACCCGGGTTCCGATATGGTGCGTCGCTAAGAGGGTTACGCCCCAACGGTTTTCTTTCGGGTTTCATCTCCATTAGAATGGCTAGGTTTAATGTTGGCTCGCCACGTCTATCACAACCCTCCTCCTTTACCAGGGCTTGGGACCTGCTATGTTGAGACAACATAGGCGGAGTTAATCTCTAGAGCATGATGACTTGGACAAATCAAATATAAGGAAAAAAACAAGTGATATAGTATGTATGAAACGACTTCTTTTTTTCGACACCAGATAGTACATACATATGGATTCCATAATTATCAGCACTTGTACAAATTTTGTCATTCTACCTCCCGTCTCTAGAGCATGATTATTTGGACAAATCAAATATATGGGGCAAAAAAACAAGTGATATAGTATGTCTGAAACGATTTATTTCTTCTGACAGCGGGTAGTACGTACATATGGATTCCATAATTATCAGCACTTTGTATTGTATTATGTAATAATTTTCTACTACTCATATTGACCGGGCTCTGTTCACCATTTCTAATATATTATTGTGTTCATCTCTCTTGTAGTGGGAAGTCACCATGTCTTCATCGATGCAATCTTCATACCTCCCTGCTACCACTGGGTCCATAGCAAAAGCTCAGGAGGCCAAGGACGCTTCGGAGTCCATCTCAATCCTCTACCATGTGCTTGAGGATCCCTCTTCATCAGCGGATGCACTGAGAGTAAAAGAGCTTGCCATTACGAATCTCACAAACTACCTCACAAAAGAGAACAGAGCTGAGGATCTCAGGAACCTTTTGACCCAGCTCAGGCCCTTTTTTGCATTGATCCCTAAGGCAAAGACCGCGAAGATTGTGCGTGGCATCATTGATGCCGTTGCCAAGATACCTGGAACATCTGAGCTTCAGATCTCACTGTGCAAGGAGATGGTAGAATGGACCCGTGCGGAGAAGCGAACCTTCCTCAGGCAGCGTGTGGAAGCAAGGCTGGCAGCCCTTCTGTTAGAGAATCAGGAGTATACTGAGGCCCTCACACTCCTCTCTGGACTCATCAAGGAAGTCAGGAGGCTGGATGACAAGTTGCTTCTTGTGGACATTGACCTCCTGGAGAGCAAGCTCCATTTCTCTCTGAGAAACCTTCCAAAAGCCAAAGCTTCTCTGACCGCTGCAAGAACTGCAGCCAATGCCATTTACGTGCCACCATCTCAGCAGGGCACTATTGATCTGCAGAGCGGAATCCTTCATGCTGAAGAGAAAGATTACAAGACTGCTTACAGCTACTTCTTCGAAGCATTTGAAGCTTTTTGTTCACTGGAAGATCCCAAGGCCATCTTCAGCTTGAAGTACATGCTTCTGTGCAAGATAATGGTCAACCAAGCTGATGATGTTGCAGGAATCATCTCATCAAAGGCTGGCCTGAAGTATCTGGGTCCTGATGTTGATGCTATGAAATCTGTGGCCGATGCCTATTCCAAAAGGTCTCTGAAGTACTTCGAAACTGCTCTCCGTGATTACAAAGCTCAGCTGGAAGAAGATCCTATTGTCCACAGGCACCTTTCTTCACTGTATGATACTCTCTTGGAGCAGAACCTCTGCAGGTTGATTGAGCCCTACTCTAGGGTGGAGATTGCCCACATTGCAGAGATGATTGAGCTGCCAATCAACCATGTTGAGAAGAAGCTATCCCAGATGATCCTTGACAAGAAATTCGCAGGGACACTAGATCAAGGCGCTGGCTGCCTCATCATCTTCGAGGACAGCAAGACTGAGGAGATCTTCCCTGCCACGCTTGAAACGATCACGAATGTCGGGAAGGTTGTGGACAGCCTGTACATGAGATCGGCCAAGATCATGGCCTGAGATGCAGTGGACGGCCTAGGTGTTAACTTCTTTTCACGGTCTACTGTCAGTTCAGTTGACCATACTTTAGCTCTCCAAGTGTCATCTTATTCTGCAATTTTTTTCTTCTTTTTCTTTTTCGGGTGGCGGACTGTTTGGGTTACAATTAGCCATATTGCTCATGGATACTCTTGTTTCGGGATGATGGAAGTACTGTTTAACACTATTTCCTTTTTCCTACTTTATGTTATTTCCACTGGCGTGAAAATCCAGGTTAGCTACCTCTGCACCTGTTGTGAACAGGTGACATGTTAGCCATTTGTTAGATGTCGTATAATCACTGTTTGTCTAAATGTTTGTTTATCCTGTGTACACACCGTTTAAATGCTACATGATAGTACACCGTTTCTGTTTAACTGGCCGTATGAATTTTTGTATGGCTGTTTCTTGCATATGTCGAAGCGACGAAACGAATGCCTCTTGCATAGTTGCATTTGTCAAAGGGGCGAAACGCATGCGGAAGAAAGCAGCTGACGTAACAATTCAGGCAAGGATATGGGGTAGTATTTGTCATCAAATTGCATACTTTCTGTAAAAATGAACTTCTGTTTGGTAAATCAAATGTCCTCATTGTTGTGTGCTGACGAAAGAGGAGTAATAAGATCTTTTTTTTTTCAGGAGATTCAGGTTTGTCAAACAAAAGTTACATATGATTTAACACAGCTCACAGGAAAGTAGCAGTAACATAAGTAATAAGATCTTCATTTCAGTAGATGCAGGTTTACCAAACAGAACTTACATATGATTGACAGTTCTCAGGGAAGTAGCAGTAACATACAAACTCTTTTAACTCTAAATAATGGTAGTTACTAAGCTTCATTAACTCAGCCGCAAGTAGTTTTCCTCACTCAGTAGTAGAACTCTATCATTGTTGCTACTTCCTCACCCTTCACCGGTTGTACCTCCAAGTTGGATAGCTAACCCAGAAATACACCGTTGTTATTTACAAACATAGGTGCAGAACATCTCATTTGCAAGAGAACATGCAACATTATATTGGTTCGCTGGTTAAGGAATCTCAGGGATATAGCTCATGGTACTGCTAGGAGGAGCTCATCAAGAGTTGAGCACAGCTCTATGCTACAGGTAAGTGCTGCTCGTTGAAGCCTTGGTTTAGAGTTCTTTGTATGGCCCTGATAGTGTTTGGAGTTGTCCTGCAGCAGCCCCCAATAGGCGAAGCCCCATCTTTGCACCATTCATTTACATAAGAAACAAAATCACCATCTGATACACCAGTGGATTCCTGCACAGAAAATGAAGCTTCCAGAGCTTAGACCATCTCAGGCTTATCGTCACATACTATATTTAATTTCGAAATTCTAAAGGACGGCTTGTATTTAACAAAGAAAAGTGCTGAAGAGGATAATATAAAAATGCACATTGTTGGCTATGCATATGTATTCATTCAGAGTAAAAACAAAATAAGAGAACACATCTCCCCTTTATCATGCTTCCACCGATGCAAGACTGAATAGCCATGTTTTTTGTGGAAAAAGGAAGAGACCACAATAAGCTCTAGCTGTACAATTCCTAGCACCTAGGGAAGTACATTGCATGCATTTATGTTTTTATATTTGGTGGTTTCAGAACCCCAAATCACATGCACAATATGAAAGTGATAAAACTAAATATTCCCTTGTTTTTTCATGTTCCGAAGAAGACAGCTGCTATATATGATTATATGAATAAGCTTAAGTTTGCTCAATGAACTTACCACCCACTCCTTTTTTTCACCATCATATCTTTCACCACTGTTGGGATATATCAGAATAGGCTTGTCCGTGACCTGTGGTAACGCAACAAAGTTAGTCAGATAAAACAGAACTGCAGCCTCCACAACACAGTGGTTTGTGCCAAGGGAAAACAAGAATGGAAATCATGATATATGCACTGCGCAGGGATAACAGGAACATCCATTTGTAATTGAGGGACAAAAAATGTGGTGAGTACTGTGCAAAATGTGGTGGATACTGGGGATACCTTTCTAATCGAGAGTATCAGTCCATGAATAAATCTTGGAGGTGTGCAATTTATCCCGACCGCACCAACCTTTGCACACTTGTCAGCAATAGTAGCGCATTCAATTAACGAGTCACCACTCACAATATGCACTCCATCTTTTGAGTTGAAGGAAAGCCATGCAGGGATATTGATGTTACATTCCTCAAGGAGTTCAACACATGCCTAGAAGACAAAGTAGCCAACGATCAAAGACTATTTCATAAAGAATGGGTAGAAATGCAAGGCAAAAGATTCAGATCACGATGTAGTTGACCTGAGCTTCCAGTTTGTTGGGGATCGTTTCAAAAGCAATCAAATCAGGGCCTGCTTCAGCAAGAACCTGAAGCCTCCACCGATGAAAATCTTTCAGGAACTCTTTTGTACCAGCTTCACCATAATCCCCACTATTTACAGCGAAACAAAAGTGAGTGTCTGGCATAAGTATGTGAAAACATAATCTGTGTCATTAAGTAGTTATAAATACCTGTACTCAGAGCCATCAGCAAGATAAGCCCCATAACTCCCTATAGATGCTGCAACCAGAATAGGATGCTGTATAGGAATGGATTTCTCCAAATGTTCCTTCAAGAACATCTCACGAGCTTCCAGTGCAATCTCAACACTCTTTGTTAATAAGTTTTCACTTTGCTCTTTTGAAAAGCGAAGGGCGGGCCTGGTGCAAGCGGTAGAGTCTTACCGCCTGTGACCGGAAGGTCCCGGGTTCGAGTCGCGGTCTCCTCGCATTGCACAGGCGAGGGTAAGGCTTGCCACTAACACCCTTCCCCAGACCCCGCACAGAGCGGGAGCTCTCTGCACTGGGTACGCCCTTTTTTTGCTCTTTTGAAAAGCCCTTTGATTCAAACCCTTGAATAGTGGTCTGCAGTACCCAAGATGACTGTCAGTATCATTGACAAATGGACATCACATGAAGCTGAAAAGTTGAGTGTTTAAAGCATGGGACCTGATACGATGCCGTGATTAGAATGTTTAAACCAGCTTCCAGATAGTCCATATGGACCTGGTTCACCAAATACATAAAGGGTTATTAATGTGCCATGGCAATCTGAAAACGACTGTTTTCCAATGAAACAAGAATTATTTATTTAAATCAAAATCAAAATACAAAAAAGAATATAAGTTGTTGCTTAGGTAACTGCAGGCAGAACAAAGACGGGATTTGAGCAGACGATCACGAGTTCATGACAGAAAATTGCTATTCAGTTCAGTTCACTGTTAACATAGAAGTTTACACATATTAGCCCAGAACTATCTTCGGGAATAAATCACATAAACACCTTCCCCCGGATGTCCATGTCCAGCCTCCATAATGAGTTGGGTCAGAAATGAGCTCTGATTCTGATTTCCATAGTGAAGGACTCAGTTGAGGTCCTGACCAAGCATAAGATTCTTGAGGATAAGTCTGGGTGACTGGGTCTGGATAAGACCAATGAGGACACACGCACAGTATGCGCCCAAGACTGCTCTGGTCCAGGGCAAGGTCAAAATCATCAACTAGCATAATTTTTTTTTTCAACGAAACAACTAGCATAAAGTTGTTCATGAACGACCACCGAATTCAGTCACTCACATAGACACGTAAGCCAATTCGGCAGCAAGCAAGGGCTTTTATTCAAATCTCCACAGCATACCCATATGCTACTGTCCTGTTCACGATGTGGTACCAGCAACTAGCTGTGGGGACGGACGTTCCCAAATATTCTTTTGTTGCAACGATATTTCCTTCCAATACCCTTGGACCATGAAAACAAAAAGAAAGCATCCCCACTCCTACCTTGCAACAAACTACTCCAGTATTAACAAGCAGTGACGCGTCGATCCCATCCCACGTCAAATCTCAGCTCGTCACTTGTTAATTGTTCCGAATATAGAACAAACAAAGGAAAAAAAAAAGATTAAATTTTTGCAGCACGGCCGCATCGCCGCGCGCTTGGCTTCTCCCTCGCTCGAAGAACAGAGGGCGGAGATCCAACAGATCGCCGGAAAGCACCCGACTTCCAACTTTATAGGGAAGCACAGAACGGTGGCCGAATGCGCCTCACACCAAGAGTGGGGTTTTTGGGGTTCGGGGGGTGGCTTGCCTTGCGGATGAGGTGCGAGGAGGAGAGGAGGCACTTGGCGCTCCAGAGCGGGTCGTTGAGGTCGACGCCGTTGGCCTCGAGCTCCGTGGCCAGCCCGCCGTCCAGGACCAGGCGCCCGCCGGCGGCATCGACCCACCGCCGCACCGCCCCCTCCGCGGCGCCGGCTGCCGTCACCACCATCTCGTCTCGGCCCCTACCAGTAGGCGGCGTTGGGGTCCCGCGCGACGAGTTATAAGCGGAGCCAGCCGCAGGGTGGCTGGCGAGTGGCGAGCCTACTCTGTTTTTTTTTAGCTTTGTTGAAAATCGATTTAGTTTTGTATTTGTTAATGTCATCTGAGCACTAACTTTAAACAAAGGCACTCAGGAATTAGTTGTTGGCTCTAATTAAAAATTAATCAACTGAAACTTTGATCAACTAAAAATTACTCCCTCTACTTAAAATTACAAGTATATGTTATGTTTGATACATAGTTATTGTTATATTAAAAAAACCAAAACGATTTATAATTTAGAACAGGGTAAGTGTGGGGGTATGGCCCCCAAGACATGGGCCGCACCATCGGAGGTGGCCCGGCCCACAAGATCAAGGCGTGCAGGACGCTGCTCGGCGTGCACCGCAAGACATTGTATAGTACCAAATGGGATATTTTACGTGTAACCCTGCCCCTCCAGAGTATATAAGGAGAGGCAGGGGTCCTCTACTTGACATCATCATGTATTCAATATAATACACCAAAGACACAGGACATAGTGTATTACGTCGATCAGACGGCCCGAACCTGTCTAAATCGCTGTCTCTGCGCCTTGTGTCACCATCTGGTTCCTGATTACGCGCATCCCCACCGATAAATCTACCATCGCGGGATACCCCTCGGTGGACTGCCGAGCATATTCTGTCGACAGTTGGCGTGCCAAGTAGGGGTGTGCGCTTGATCCATGGTGAGCCAGATGGATCTCAAATCAACAACGCGTTCTCGTCGTCAATCTCGTGGAGATCCATCCCGGTCCACGACGACGATTCATCGCTGCTACACCAGCCCCTTGAAAGGTCCTTGTTGATTTTGGTAATTGAGTGACAACCTAGGTGGACTAATTGTGTTTATGTGAGATACACAGGTGATTAGTCCACAGGTACATGTGTATGAGCAACATATGCCATGGAGGTGAAAATGGCTTGGAGATGTTGCAAAGCTCACACATGTGATGATGAAGGAGCTTATTGCACATGAGACATGACATTGAGTCATGTGATCAAGGTGGAGAAGATCAAGACAAGACTTGGCTTGATGGACCGGTTGCAAGCGTGAAGGGCAAGTCGAAGGCTTTGGAGTGATGGACCGCGTGGCGGTGAAGCTTGAGCAAGACTTGGCGCCGATGGACGATGGCAACGGTGAAGAGCAAGTAGAGTCAAGATCGATGAACCAATATGATCATGTGATGATATGAAGTGGATCATATCATTGTTGATCGTGTTGGTGCATGTGTTGCATCGACATTGAAGGAGATGGAATGGAATCGCATGAGGCAAAGGTATAACCTAGGGCATTTCATTTCACCGGTCATAGGTGTGTAGAGAAGTTTATGACCGGGTTTAGGATAGATGGCCGTACTATCAAGAGGGGCAAACTTGTTTGCATATCGGTCATCTAGTGCCACTCGAGTGATCTAACTTTGCATTGTCGCTAGGATCGAGTGGCGTGGCAAGTTGAGTGGCTAACATCCTTTGGGAAATGATTGTGAAAATGCTAACACACATACACATGGTGGTGTACACTTGGTGGTGTTGGCACATTTACAAAGGAGGTGATGTTTGCGGGGGTGAGATGGGTTTGGGTCCCTCTCTCCCTCCCGCCGAAACTTATGAGCGGGATTCGGCGCTTTCGGAAAATAGAATGCCTATTTTCTATTGCGCCGGATGCAAATTCTTGGTGGTTAGCTCATTGGAGCAAGGGTGAAGAAGTTAGAAGTGAGAACGAGTTGGTCGCGAAGATGTTTGGCGTCGGTCAATCGACCGGACGCCGATCTAAAACGACCGGACGCCATGGCCGGCCGCGTCGGTCGGCCGCTACCGACGCATCTGATATGACGCAAAGATGGTCGGAGAGTGACCGGACGCTGGCGCCGTCTGACAAGGCTCGACCGGACGCGTCCGGTCATGCTCGGAGCTTCTGGAAAGCGACCGGGACGCCGAGGGTTCTGCGTCCGGTCGGTTGAAGTGCTTCGCGTCCGGCGGCAGATGACCGTTGGGATCGGAAGATGACCGTTGAACGCAGGGGACACGTGGCGAGTATCGCGTGACCGGACGCTGTGTCCAGTCGTCCGGTCGATCGGACCGGAAGCGTCCGGTCGGCCCGACCGCTGCCCAGTGAAGGGGTAACGGCTAGTTTAGCCCTTGGGGCTATAAATAAAGTGGCCCTCGGCCATGGTGGGTGTTGAGCACCACAAGGGACTTAGTGTCCATGCTTGTGAGTGCTTGGGAGCCCTCCATCACACATATACTTGATAGTGATCATTCGATTGTGTGAGTGAGCGATTCTAGTGCGATTGCATCGTGAGGTTGCATCGAGTGGCACTAGGTGATCGAGTTGCGAGCCGGTGGTGCTTGTTACTCTTGGAGGTTGCCACCTCCTAGACGGCTTGGTGGTGGTCTCCGTCGAGCGCGCGCAAGAAGCTTGTGCGGCGCTCCTAGAAGTGCTTGTGAGGGGCATTGTGCTCGCCCCATGGAGTCGCTAAGAGCAACTTTAGTAAAGCGTGTCATTGAGCTACCCTCACTCAAGGGGTAGGTTCTTGCGGTGCCCGACGTGCGGGCTTAGCGGGTGATGCTAATTAGCCGCCAACCACCAAGTGAGCGGTCGACACAACGGGGACTAGCGTGTTGGCAAACACGTGAACCTCGGGAGAAAAATCATCGTGTCAACCTTGTTCTTCCTGTTGGTTTGCATCCCCATTACACAAGCTTGCAATTACTTATATATATATCTTAAGCTTGTGTAGTTGCTCTTGTAATTAGATAGCTTGTGTAGCTAGCTAATTACCTTCTTGCTTGTGTAGCATAGAAGTAGCTTCCTTAAGTGTGGCTAATTTGGTTTTAGTAACCTTGTTAGTCACATTGCTTAGTTTGTGTAGCTAAGTATTTGCGTTCTCTAATTAGGCGTTGGTTGCCTTGTTATTGAGCATTGCTAGTGAGCTTAGTTAGCTTTGTGCTTTTGCTTACTAGCATGTGTAGGAGCTCCCTTGTTACTTAAAGTACTAGTGGCATAGGTTTGTGTGACCTTGCTCCTAGAATTGTTTAGGAGAGCTCTAGCTAGCCCGGCACCTTAGTTGCTTTATTAGTATCTTTGCAAGGTGCTAGTGAACATATATAGAGGGGTGTAGTCTTGGCTAGACCGATTGTTTTAATTCCGCATTTATATCGGTTAGCCGACGCGATTAATTTTAGAAAAGACTATTCACCCCCCCCTCTAGTCCGCCATCTCGACCCTTCACCCCTGCAACAGCAGATCCGATGTCGGAACCAACAACTCGCCACCGATGCTCTCGTCAGCCCTCGCCGTCGACTCGTCGTCACCACTCGGCGGCCTTCGCCGACATCTTTCGTCGACGTCCCTCGCCGTCGACTCGTAGTCACCACTCGGCGGCCTTCGCCGACATCTTTCGTCGACGTCCCTCGCTGTCGACTCGTCGTCACCGCTCGGCGGCCTTCGCCGACATCGTTCGTCGACGTCTCTCGCCATCGACTCGTCGTCACCGCTCGGCGGCCTTCACCGACATCCTTCGCCGACGCCCCTCGCCGTTGTCTCGTCGTCACCGCTCGGCGGCCCTCACCGACATCCCTTGTCGCCGTCGAGCTGCAAGCGAGCTGCCCGTGTCGCCGACCAGACTTTCTGTCTAAAGCTAAGTCACGTTTTAATATTCTTCTAAATATTCTTCAATCTCCGTATATCGTTATAGTGTTTCTCCGAACTGTTTTCTCCATATTTGCTCTTCAAACAATTTTTTCGAACCCTCGAACAATCACGTTGATGCTCGGACGCCTTCAGAGACGGCTCTATCTCCGGCTCCTTCCTACACGTGCTACGGGCTCCGCGCTCTGCGTTATGGGTGGTCGGCAGCGGCTCCTTGGTCACGCCTGTTCGTCCTACACGTGCACGGGCTCCGCGCTCGACGTTATGGACTATGGGCTAGCTAGGGCTGAAGACTCAGCTACACACTAACTGTTCGGGCGGTTTATATTAAACATAAATATATTTTCACGCCAACTAATCGCTGAACTGCATACGCCGTTTCATCACCATTGCTGATTTTTCTCCTGAGTTTCTTTATTTGTACATCGTGTACTACCCGTTCTACATATTTGTATTGCGGGATCGCTCGCGTCTTGGTGATCGGACCACCGGTGCTCGGGCTTCTCCACCGATCAACCGGGTCGCACCGCTTGGTTCATGGACTCCATCGTCGACCGCTTGATCGGACTCGTCACCGCCGTCGTTTCTACTCAATGTTCACTTGACGCCGCCGACCATCGACCGTAATGTTTGTCGCCGGTGCTTCATCGCCGATTCGTCGGTTACTCCTCGGCCCTCGGATTCTTCGTGCTCGAGGACTAAGTGGGCACACTTCACCGCATGGACGCCGTCGGCCACGCCGGTGCTCGAACCTCGCCGCCTATGCCGGGGACTCCTCGGTGCTCGGATCTCGCCGCCTACGCCGGGGACTCCTCGATGCTCGGACCTCGCCGCCTACGCCGGGGACTCCTCGGTGCTCGGACCTCGCCGCCTACGCCGGGGACTCCTCGGTGCTCGGATCTCGCCGCCTACGCCGGGGACTCCTCGATGCTCGGACCTCGCCGCCTATGCCGGGGACTCCTCGGTGCTCGGACCTCGCCGCCTACGCCGAGGACTCCTCGGTGCTCGGACCTCGTCGCCTACGCCGGGGACTCCTTGGTGCTCGGACCTCACCGCCACGCCGGGGACTCCTCGGTGCTCGGACCTCGCCGCCCTCGCGCCGGACTCCTCGATGCTCGGACCTCGCCGCCTACGCCGGGTACTCCTCGCTCCTCGATGCTCGGTCATCGCCAGCGACTTCGGGGACTCCTCGGTGCTCGGACATCGCCAGCGACGCCGGGAACTCCTCGCTCCTCGGTGCTCGGACATCGCCAGCGACGCCGGAGACTCCTCGCT